TATATTATGCATTGTAGAACGTGTGCTTTCACGCTCTTTGTGGAATATGTCCCTGTTAACTTTTTTTTTTGTCTAATGTCTCGTCAGTCATCAAAATCTAACTCATCGGTATTGTGCTAGGTTATGCAAATGCCAAGGTGTTCAAATGTGACAACGAGAAGTGTCCACGACCAACGTGCTACATTGCTGCCGGCTCTTCTAAGGAGGACAGCTTCGTCTGCAGCAGGCAGTCCTGCAACGGACAGTGAGTGGCTCAAATGCAATTGGCTCCACACTATGTAGATCTAGTCATGTCAAACATGCCTTGATAGTCTCAGAAACACATTGTTATGGAGAATCTGATGTCATTTGGCAACACATTTAAATGTCTGACCATATGATTAAGGTCGTGCTCTTTTACGAAAGCTATATGCAACGCCAGTAGCTTATGGTGAACGATCTCTTGCTTAGCCTTGACTGTGAATTCACTCTGTCTCCAGTTTCCGTCTGACCCGGCACGTGTCGTTCGTCGACTGCCCCGGTCACGACATTCTCATGGCCACCATGCTGAACGGAGCGGCAGTCATGGACGCCGCCTTCCTGCTCGTCGGTCAGTGCCTATCGCCAGTCCACCGATAATGCGGACAGCGTCTCAGTCCCCTGTGCTGTGCTGGAACGGAAGCTGTTTGGTGTGATTCCCACATTGATTTATACCGCAGGGCGCGATTACAATTTCACAGTTTAGCATCGACAATGGCTCGTCACCTTTTGTGTTATTGTTTGATGCGATGTTTCATTCGAATTTTTGTGGTCTTACCTGCCCTAAGTCGCGTCTCTTTTCTCACCCTGCTGCTCCGTCTCCACAGCGGGCAACGAGCCGTGTCCGCAGCCACAGACGTCCGAGCACCTGGCCGCCATCGAGATCATGAAGCTGCGGCACATCCTCATCCTGCAGAACAAGATCGACCTCGTCAAGGAGACCCAGGCCAAGGAGCAGTACGAACAGATCCTCAAGTTCGTCCAGGGTAGGTGGCGCGGCTCGATGGATCGGATAGTGCGAATGTTCTGAAGAAGATGATTTTTTTCTACGGAATGACTGACAGCTATGATACAGCTATATATGATATATATATGATATATATATGATATATATATGATACAGCTATGTATGTCAGCTACGATATGTCACGAATTAATAAATGTTTGATTGGAAAGTACGTATCATTTTTCCCAAATACATGGAGACTCCATTTGGTTGGTTTTCGTCCTATGAAAGTTATTCCATGTCCGTTACACGCCCACTGACCTGTCTCATTTACCACCGCTCCTCTCCGCAGGCACAGTGGCTGAGAGTGCGCCGGTGATCCCCATTTCGGCGCAGCTCAAGTACAACATCGAGGTCATTTGCGAGTACATCGTGAAGAAGATCCCGGTGCCGCAGCGCGACTTCCTCTCGGCCCCGCGGCTCATCGTCATCCGCTCGTTCGACGTCAACAAGCCCGGCTGCGAGGTGGATGACCTTAAGGGTGGCGTGGCTGGCGGTTCGATCCTGCGTGGTGTGCTGAAGGTACGGCTTGGAAGGAGGGAGGGAGAGGGGAGAAGTATTAGACCCGATCGGGATTAGAAAGTGGTAGGAGGGTGGACGTTGGTAGACCGTGGCGCATTTTTGTTTGGCAGGGAATACTGTAGGGAAGAGACATTTACGTGTCTTGATAGAAGATATTGGTAGGAATGGATCGTGGTTTGCTGATCGTAATTAGTGCGAGAAGGGGGCTTAGAGATCAGGAGGGGGGATAGGTGCTGATTGGTGGCCTAGAGAGGACATTTTACGGTGACCGACGGGGGAGAGTACCAAGTGTTAATGTTGTACTCCGGGAAATGATGGAATAACCGTATATTTATCATGGTGCACAAGAAGCGAAAGAATGCATGTAACGCGGCTGTTTGCTGACTGGTAAGTAATTGGTAAGCAAGCCATTCACCCAAACCGCGCCACCTCGTTTTGTCGGCAGGTGGGGCAGGAGATTGAGGTGCGGCCCGGTATCGTGGAGAAGACCCAGGACGGCAAGCTCAGCTGTCGACCCATCTTCTCGCGCATCCTATCACTGTTCGCCGAGCAGAACGACCTGCAGTTCGCTGTGCCCGGAGGACTGATCGGTACGAAACCCACAAGCCCGGCTTAACTCTGAGCTCCGAAACGTGAGACACCGAGAGGTGTCACGATTCCGTGGTATTTGAACTCTTAAATCCGGGATATCGAGATGTGTAGTATCAGGTGGCGATTTTTTACATAAGTACTAAGCCATGTGTCCTGAAGTGTACGCTTGAGATGTTGCATGCTCCTCTTGCACACACCGGTCCTCACACTTGAATGACTCGTCACTTCAATTTTTAATGACACGTCACCTCTGACCGGCCCTCCTTGCCGTAGGTGTGGGCACCAAGATCGACCCGACGCTGTGTCGCGCCGACCGTATGGTGGGCCACGTGCTGGGCGCCGTCGGAGCGCTGCCCGACATTTTCACCGAGCTCGAGATCTCGCTCTTCCTGCTTCGCCGGCTGCTCGGCGTCCGCACGGAGGGCGACAAGAAGGGAGCCAGGGTAAGCAGTAGTGGCCGGCAGCGGGCGGCGCCAAAGCCACCATCTAAAGAACTGTATGAAGGAATGCATGACTGTATAAGAGACTTGATTTACGTGTGCGGAAGGCTCGTTACTTCAATCTTCTATTCGTTCATTTACCTCATGGACGAGAGCTGATGCTTATATCTCAATATTATGATAACCTTGTCTGCTTTTTAGAACACGCACTGCCGATGTAAGTGCTATAAGTGTGACTGACAGTAATGCGTCTAAGCGATGTCGTGTTCCCCGCCACAGGTCCAGAAGCTGACCAAGAACGAAGTGCTGATGGTGAACATCGGCTCCCTGTCCACCGGGTGCCGCGTGCTGGCCATCAAGGCTGATCTGGCCAAGATTTCGCTGACCTCCCCCGTCTGTACCGAGGTCGGGGAGAAGATCGCCCTCTCTCGCCGCGTCGAGAAACACTGGCGGTATGTTCGGTGTTGGGTCTGATGAGGATTTTACGGCCAAGTATTGGCGGGTGCTTTTCGCTTTAACATTTGGAGTTTTACATTCGTTTTGTATTTATTCAGCACACTGCATGGATAACCTAGCTGAATCATGACATTGCAGCTCACCCATGCCTTTGTGCTCGATTCGTAGCGACATCATAGTCGGAATCTGCTGTTTCAAAAAGCCAGACGTCGCTGGTAGATCCTTTGTCCTTTAACCCGGCGGCCGCTGGGCCTCCGCGCCACCCACCGGCCGCTGGGGGGGGGGGGGGGCATATAGTCCCCCCCTTTACTTCTGCGACGATATCGTCGCAACGCGAAGAGATAGAGAAGCGAAACTTTGCACACATCTTCCTGAATAACTAGCCAAGGTTGTGTCTAAATTTGGTGTCGATCCCATTTGAAATGACGTCACAGTGACGTCATAAGTGAAATTATAGATTTGCGACTCTCATATTCCTCACGATACATCAGATATTTGGGACCGAATATAAAGGGTCGATTATTGGTCAGAAACTAGATGGAAGTGTAGATAGATGTTTTAGGGTGACAGCAGGTGCTGCCTAGTTCATTTACAGTTGAGTTTTATGCTCAGAGTCATCAGAAACGGTCCATATAGGAAAACGACAAACTTTATGACGTCACTGTGACGTCATCGTAGGTGCTACAACCACCAAACTTTCCTCAAACATTGCCTAGGTATTCATTTGAAGCTATGCCAAGTTTATCACGTTCGTAGCTCATCAGGTTCAGATATATTTCACAAAACGTAAAGGGGGGGGGGCAACTTTATGCCCTCCCCCCCCCCCCCAGCGGCTCGTGGATTAATACTTGTCTGTCATCACCTGTGGACGACCGCTGACCACCCATCCCGTTACAGACTGATCGGCTGGGGTGAGATCCGGCGCGGAGTCACCGTCAAACCCGTGATCCAGAAGTAGGCGAGACGGCCACGAACCGTCCAGAGGGCTCCAGCAAGCGCCAAGCGCCCGGACGCGGCGAGTGAGTGTGCCCAAACCAGATCACAGTGAGGCGGCCATGCGCGCGGTGCTATGCTGTTGCTCGTGTGCTGCTTTGGTGGAAGGATTATTGGCGGAATCGGCTACAAATGCATTCTTGGATATGATTCGATCACTGCGTTTGTGGAGAGTTGGACAAGTGTTGGCGAAACGGGATTTCGGTTACGGAACCCGGTAATCTTTACTGGTCTTTATTTATTATTGGTCTTTTATGCAATCTAAACCCTGATGGCTGATCATAATATATCCCTTAATCTATTTTTTTATCATTACGATTTATCTCACTTAGTTGCCCCCGTAGTAGAGTGCTTGTTACGAGCGAGCGTGAGGCGTGCTCTCGTATATTTACGGAATATTTGAGTATGAGCGGCCGGTCGTGGCTAGGCCTGTGAGAGGCTTATATCTCAGCAACCACTGTGCCGATTGACCTGCGGTCTTTTGTTGTGAAGCATCTTCATCTCTTCTAAAAGGTATTGAACCATTCCTGATGAATGTGGGTGATTACGTGCAGAATAGTTTCATCTTTTCCCCATGATAATAACTAATCATAGGGCCGATTGTGCCTAAACATAGCTATCGGTATGCACCTATTTGCCAGTGCATTTCCATGTGTCACAGTTGTGGCGCTACAGAGCGTGTGGACGTGCAGGAGGCAGTTTCCACATCTCTGGAACGGCTGGGCATATTGTGCTAAAATTTGGTACATCCCGAGGGACCGGTCAGTACACTGCCCCGCACAACTCTACAACTCAATTGGTGGTCCGGCTTCGCCCTGCCAGACACGCTGTTCTCATTCTTGCGTTCGCTCGTTTGTCGCCTTCCCCCCTCCCCCACACGCGCCCAAACACTCGAAATACTCTGGTTGTGGCATATTTCTTTGGGGGGGGGGATCATTTTTGAAATCGTGTTTTTTTTCTCTCAACACAATGCAGAGTTTCACTGCCTTTTATTCATGCCACCAAAACACAGCACTAAAAGGATGGGTGCAGCGGCTGAGCCCATAGATAATCGCTGTTAATTTTCAGAGCAAGTGCATTCCTTTCAGTAGTCTCCAAAATATGATCCAGTGTATCGAATCCGAACGATTCTGCCATTTCACTAAGTAAAACCGTAGTTGCCACTCTCTAAGCCAATCTAAAAAATAGAGATCGAGCTCAACCTCTGGCAACTACCCCTAGGAGAGTCTGAATCCGAAGTCGCTGATCAGTTTTACCCAGGCGTCCAGCGTGGGCTCTCTCGTTGACCTGGTAACCTTTCCTCGGGCCATGGTGACCTGGAGCGGCATTCGGCGGCCGCTCACGGCAGGGCGTAGCCATGGGCGACGTTCTCAGCGACGTAGCCGTGCGCCACGTTGTCTGCGACGTAGCCGTGCGCCACGTTATCGGCCACGTAGGAAACTGCTACGCTCTCGTCGACGGGGGCGGGCTCTGGGTCAGCCCAGGCCACCGCCAGCACGGCGACCAGGACAGCCAGCAGCAGCAGGGCGGCGCGGAACATGGCTGTGGGAGAGAGACGTACAAATTAGCTACGGGGATTACAAGTTAGCGATTAGGTTGGAGTATGAGAGCGTGTATTGCTTGCAATGGCTTATGATTTTCTATAAAGAAGCGTACAGAAACCGGCGAAAAAAATGTAGTGCACTCACCTCCACTGGACAAGGCAAAAAAGTAGACCCACAAATAATACCAGCTTAACTATGAGAGTTCTCCTCTGGTGGCTGACGGTCCGACCCTCATGGCTTAAAAGTAATAAAACGTTGAGATGACAATGTAAAGGATGACCCGCTTGCACGTACCCCGGTAGACTCTGTGATACGACCCCGACGGCTATTCGGTTCCCGCTGACCCGGACGCGGTCACCCGATTCCGACACCGACTTTGGTCGGTCACGTGACCGACGGAGCGCCCCAGGGCTAGTGATCGGTCCCGAGCGGAGCGGGGCAGGCGGGCGGCCGTCGGGGACCGGGCTATCGCAGCCAAGCTAACAACTCCGGCAAGCGTTGCTACTTGCTTCTTACCACCCTCCTCCATACAGCTTTTTTTTTTTTAGTCGTGATGGACCACGTATCTTATTATCCAATTGTCTTACCTGAGGTTTATGTAGAGTCAACTTCGACGACTGAGATCGCTGAAAGCTCGAGGCGCTATGTCCCTCCGTGTGCCATTGGGCGATTTTATACCGATCACCCTCCCCTGATCGGGAGATGCAGGACTGGCACAGAAGCCCGGGGTAAACAAACTTTACGTCGTGCGCCGCTGGGAAAATCCAACACAGAGTGATGGTGCCATCGACGCTGTCGCTGTATGTTGTGTGCTTGGCTATGTGATTATTCGAAGTATTGCACAATGAGGGATGCAGAAGCAGGTCGCGCCAGTCGAGAGGCACTATGAGGTGATGGAGGCTGATGGCGCAGCGTGATACGAGCTCGGAAAACGTATTATGCGATCACTGTGGGGCATATTTATTCCCCCCCCCCCCACCCCCACCCACTAACTTAGGTCTGCTTACATATATATAAAAGCACGTCACCGGCTTGGAACAATTTATAACGTATCGTTTCCGCACGCCATTAAAGATTAGCCCTTGAACTTGAAGAAACGGGCATTGGATTGACCCCCACCCCACCCTAGTTTTTTTTTCGCGAATAACACTCGTACAAAGCGATGGATCGCGACGAAGAAACTTTCAGCTCTATTTGATAATTTTTGCACCTAGCGTGAAAGCTACATGACCTTGACCCGAATGGCATTTGATCCGTGACCTGTTTTTATTACGGAGCGAGCGAAGCGAGCGTAGTCTTTCCTTAGATTAACGGAAATTTCTGAGTATGAGCGGCCGGCCGGCCGGCCGGCCGGCCGGCCGTGGTCACGCTTTTGCGAGGCTTATATCTCAGCAACCACTTGACCGATTTACATGCGGTAATTTTTGTAGGGTAGCTTCATTCCTTCTACCAAGTATTGGACTATTCCCGATGCATGTGGGTGACCCCTTATGCACGTGCCACGTGCAAAACGAAGAGGTGTCACTTTTGCAATTGTTGCAATATCTCGGTAACTACTTGGCCGATTGCGCTGAAAGTTGGCATGTAGGTAGGCACCCACTATGCAATGCCTATCCATGTGCCAGAGTTGAGGTGCTGCTGCACGTGCGCACGTGCAGGGGTCGATTCCAGATCTCGAGAACGGCTGGACCGATGGCGCTCAAATTTGGTACATGGTTAGGGACCGGTTAGTAGGGTGCCGTGCAAAAGTCAGTTGGGACCCATTTTGCACGTGCGCACGTGCAGGGTGCCGCCTCCAGATCTCGAGAACGGCTGGGCCGATTGTGCTCAAATTTGGCACATCGCTAGAGACCGGTTAGTAGGGTGCCGTGCACAACTCAGTTGGAGGTACCCCCTCGCAATTTCGCACGTGCAAGGCTCACCCTCTCGCTCGCTCCGTTAGTCGCCCCAAAAGGCGTTATACTGGTACTATGTATGTAGGTAGGGCCAGAATGGCGATTCGGCGTAGGTATGTCTATGTCAGCCTACATTAGCCATGGCTTCCGGACATGATATGATAAGAAATATGTCAGCGATTATTGTCCCACGAATTATGGTGGAAGTCAATTTCATGTGAAGGTCAGGTTAACGTCACTGATGGTGTTGGTTATAAAACCATCAGGGACGGTTTAGGCTTCTTTTTGGTGGAGGTCAGGTAAAAATGTCCAAAAAGGTCAAATTTCAAAATTCATATTTTTGCATAAAAAGAGAACCCATTTGATGCAGCTTATCACGGCGAACATAATGGTGGTCTTCGTTTTTTTTTTCCAAGTTGTCTATAACGGCTAAAAATTGGATTTGGATATTACAGAACATCAATTTTGAGCATTTTTGTTCGCCAAAACCTTGCCAAAAATAGATTACCGAGCTCCAATTTGGCATGTCGATAGCAGACCCATAGGTCGCTAACATATATTCTGTTTTTCCAGTGTTTTTATTTTTATTTTTGGAGAATAATTTAAAAAAAAATATCTTTAATTTTAGGGCTCAAAGTAAAAAAATAACCATACAAATTCAGAGATAGCAATTTTTGTAGCCCTGTTCATTTTACATCTTATATGTTTTAAACATATGTTTTCTCTGTCTTTAAAACTGCGTCTGTAGGCAAGCAGTCTGCACTCTGCATTTTTTCTTTATCTACGGTAAGTTAAGTCATAACGTTCATTCGGGTGAATGCCATCTTTGTCATTATTGTACCTATTCATTTTCCATGATTTAACTATTTTGATTTTTCTTGAGCATTGCCAATGCCATTGGGATTGCATCGCATATCTACGTCGTAATTTCTCATGTTTATGCTGTAACCGGCTCTCGTTTCGAAAGCAGGGCAGCGTGGCACAATATCTTTTCCCAGCACGTCATGCCTGTGGCATATGACGCGCGCAGTAGGTATGTAGCTTGCGAAGCTCACCATTGCATAACCATAAACCCTCTCCGGCCGAAAGGGGTGGTTGGTGCCAACGCCTCTGACGGATTGAAAGCGAGCTCGTAACGCGCTTCAAGTGATGAATAGATGGAAGTTGGCAAAACTGTCTTCTCAGATGGATCTTGTGACATTAACCGCATTTTCTGGTCAGGTCAGGTCACTGAGTACCTATGTAGACCTTTGACTTTACCCACGCACCGACGGGGCCCGCTTCAACTTAAAACCGACGGGGGGATGACCGCCCCCTGAAATCCCTGAAATATCGAGAACGAAGCAAGATAGTGATAAGCGGTAAACGGCATAGGGTACGCAACGACAAGGTCTACAATTCTTTTAGATGTTATTTTCAGGTCAGGTCAAAGATGACGTCACAGGGGTCAAAAAAGTCAAAATGGGGCTAGATATAAAGAGTTTTTTTTCTCGAGTTACTTTCGAAGTAGCCAAGCTAGGAACAAACTAATGGCATGCCATCGTGTCGTGATCCTCCAGTCAATCCACATCGATTCAAATATATGTTGACCTCGAAGGTCAAGGTCAAAGGTTGACTTGACCTCAGGTCACGTAACCTCGAGGTCATCATGTATAATGTATATCATTCGATGCGCCTTTAAGAGCTGAACACCATGAGACCATCTGCGGCCTGCGCGGCTGTATCTCCTTCCTGTAAGAAATTATTGGCAAAAAAACTTTGGTGACCTTTGATGGCATCACATGACTTTACAGCTGCCCAACAGTAAACAGGCCTCAAGGTATAAGTCAAGCTTGATCGTATATGAAGTCATGTATGGTATATTGGACCATTCTGATGCGTTTTAGTGGAAAACAGGGAGTTGTTTTTCCCCCATTGACTTATAATGGGTAGGTCGAGAAATTGACCTGACCTTAGGTCATCGATATCGAAATTCCGACTTATACTAATTGTAGCTACCAGTGACCTATATGCCTAATTACTAGTGATGTCAGTTACGGAAAATCGGAATACCGATACCAAACCAAATACCAACCAAAACCGTGGGGAAATACCGAAACCAAACCAACTTGGGAAAATGAGGGAAATACCAACTTTTTACCGATTTCTCAGCCTCTTATACATTAGTGAGGGTTCATGATACCAACAAAATACCAAACACATTACGATTAAAATACCAAATACCAAGTTGGTATCGGTTTGGTATCGGTATACCAAAAAGTTGGTATCCGATTGACGTCTCTACTAATTACATCCTGCGACTTTCAAAGGCTTCCGTCATCTACTTTAGCTTTGACCAGGGTTGTGCTCGACTAAAAAAAAAAAAATTGCCGACTCGACTCATCATTCAACTTCAGAAAGCCCTGACTCAACTCTGACTCAAACAAGGAGCTGATTTTTTCCCTTGACTCGACTCATGACTCAAGCGGCTCAATGAAAATATGAGTTGACTCAAACTTGACTCAAATTTTTGGTTGAGTCAAGTGTGATGACTCAAAATTGACTCAGATAAAAAAGTTGTTGAGCGGGGGGGGGGGGGGGCGAACAAATCAAATTCCGGCAGCAGGGCCAGGCCTAAGTTGTTAAGCGGGGGAGAATGAAAAGCTTATATATTGTTTCTAGAAAGATGAGTCAGCTGACTCATGTTCCTAAATGTTTTTGACTCAACTCAATGTCAAAAGTTATTTTACTGACTCAACTCTGACTCAACTCAACACCTTAATATTTTTGTCTGACTCAACTCTGACTCAACTCAACAGCTCAACATTTTATCCGACTCGACTCAAACCTGACTCATCTGAGTCAGAGTTGAGTCAAATCTCTGACTCGACTCATGAGTCAAGCACAACCCTGGATTTGACACGGTGACAAACTTGCGAAAAGTGATTTGAGGCTGGGTCATTGAAGTGACCTGTTGACTCGACCTTGAAAGTTGTGAGATTCAAACTTGCACACCATGTGTACATTGCACAATTGATTAGACAAGTCATGCCAAATTTCCCGGCGCTACGCGCCGCGGTTTTCCCAATATTCACGAAAAACTTCAGGGGGGGGGGGGGTCGGATAACCCTGAAGTGCGAGAGAATCTTTCGCAGTGAGCCAAACGTAAGGAAGTAGTTACTATTTAAGCTCCAGAGTCCTCGCAACTAATATAGTTATCTCATTTTTTTCACAAAGATCACCCGAGGTCGTGTCATGACCTCAGCAGTAGGCATAAGTAAATGTGGGGAGAGGATATGGAAACTGATAGTGATTCGCAGACTATGCACCGATATCTGACGTTATCTCAATTTAATCGCTGAAAATCAAACTGTGTCGCAAAAAAAGCTGCTACAATTCCGCAATTAACACACGTAAAAATCGGAAGGGTAATGGCCTAATACGACTCCATCAGGACAAGACAAAAAGAAGGTCCGTACTATACATTCGGTGGCGGGCTCTACCACCACGGATCGCTCGACGGCCACGATCAGTAGATGAAGATGGCAGCACATTGGGTAGTCTCCGCCTACAGAGTTCACGGTGGGTGGCATGCCATACTCCATAGAGAATGGATAGGTACGGACTGTTGGCAAATCCCATCCGGATAACGGATTTCCTGGTTTTTTAACTAGAGAGAGAACTTCTGATTGAGGTATGATTGAATGATTATTGCTTTTGCCTATTGGTTTGGTTCACAAGACGGGCAAGACTGTCCCTCGGTTTGACGTTCGGGCAGTTACACCATAACCTTGACATCATCTCAACTTGCCAATGGTAGCATTTACGCGATATTTTCGTCATTTAACGAGGTTTGGCGAGGTATTGGTGATTACATTGTACCGGGCTCATTACTGTTACATCCA